TCTCTCTCTCTCTCTCTCTCTCTCTCTCTCTCTCTCTCTCTCTCACACACACACACACAGACAGGCACTCACATACCCTTATGTACTATGGCCCTGTTATATGGTCTTACAGTGTTCCCAGTGTACCGGCTGGAATTCCAGATTCTCTATAGGAAACCGATGATGCGATATCCCATCAGCTTAATTATCGAGACTACTCGTAACGGATGGAAGGAACGCGTCGCGATGGCACTTTTAGCAGCAATTAGTGGTCCCTTCATTAATGAGACTGACCAGAAGCCGCGCCAGTGGGCGCATGCTTCCATTCATCCCTACCGTGATCCTCTTTCGCATCTATCCATCCTCATTCCCAGCGTGCCCAGAGTTCCCTCCATTGGCATCTCTTAAACGAACCAGGCCAGACTTTATGCCTTGGTCGGCCTTTGACTCCGCTGGGCCGTATTAGTCACCTAAGCTAACAATACGCTCTGTATTAAGTCCGGGGGAACGTAATTCCAGTCCTAAGGTAGATAAGCTAAACGTATGATGTGGCTTTCTCAGGTGTTCTAATGAGAGGCAAGGGTCTCGCGTGCTTTAATAATGCGGTCGTATGCCAGACGGTAGAATTTAGGAACACGCGGCGAAGCCCAGGTGGGACGAAATTGCGGAGACACCTTGGAAAATCTCAACCCTCTAATGAGTTTATACTACGAAGGCAGCCCATTTCCCTCTATCGTACCTAACATCCACTATACCTTTCAAAGGACGCTTCTTTGGATAAGATTACTTTCCCTTGTAGTCAGCCTCCCGCCACAATCTCTTTCCATTGTACCTGAAGTGTGTGCGCGTGTGTGCTGAAGCCCTGTTAAGATATTGACGTTCGCCCTTCGGCTGAATTCTCATGGGTAAATCGGGGCGAATCGCGGAAGTCACGTTGTGCGAGTTAGTGACAAACAAACCCTCTCGAATTTTTCTGTTTTCCTTTATCTTTCGAATCCGCATCCTCGCGCCTCACCTCGCCTTCAATTTTTCTTTCTTCACGTCTGTGCTGGAGGAAAGCAATAATGTTGAAAGGTAGAAATTAATAAAACGAAAAGCTTCTCGGGCTAAAAGCTGCACATCAGGGAAGGTAGGACGCGTGGAAAGAGTCTCGAGGACCGAATACGTATTTGTTAAATTATTGTATCGGAGTATTCGCCCAATTCCCTATGGGGACTATTTATACATTTATACTTAACCGGTCGCAGCCTCGTGGACCAATAGGTCAACCACGACTCAAACATAATTTACGTAAATATAGACTTACCGCAGAAGACTCGAACCGATCCCCCGTCTGTCACGTGCAGTGTGCCGGCATTTTCTTACTTTTCAAATTCTCTGGATCCAGAGAAAGTCTAACAGGACTCCGACACCATTCACGTGACTCTTCGATTTCCCTCTTAACCGATTAGTCTTGATTCGCGTAACGTTGACGTGTCAATTAATTAACTAACGATTTTTTTTATCGGTTCGAGTTCAATTAATAAAAAATATCGAAGGAACGGCAGGTTTTCACAGATTTTTATTTTTGTTATGTAACTATCACATAGGTATTATTTGTTTTGACAGTCAACCTTAAATACTCTCGTTATCTGCTCTGTTATTGATTTTATTGTCCTGGGGAGATCGAGGTAATCACTCGATGGCTGATAAGTGCTAATGCGCTAATTGGCATGCGGCTACCACCGCACGGTGGATACGAGAATAGTTACGTTCTCGTATTCCGCCGCAGAGGCTGGCTTTAATTATATTTAATTACTACCCATTAATCGTATCTTTAATTGCCTCCCGAGCTCATGGCTATGTCTAGGGACGTCGTGGGTGCAAGATAAAAGGTTTAGACGCAGTCCGCATCGAGAATTATCAAACAGCCAACTTTATGACACATGCCCAGCCCACTTGGGGTGCAATCGGCGATAAGACGATGATACACATTCATTAGACGCTGCTAATTAACGTCGCGCAATATTTCGAGTTCACACCCGAGCCTCAATGAGAGCGGCCATCCGTGCCGCTTCTCTCGAGAAAGTTCATCAGCCTGAATTTTACGGATGCCAGTAGTAAGCGTCATTGTCGTGCAGACCCTTAAAGGGGATCATTCCTTTTGGATCGACGTAATCGCACCACGTTTATGCACTCTTTTGATCCCCTACCGACACCGTTCCCTTTGACATTTTCCCTCCGGGAAATCAGGCATCTTCCCTCTCTCGCGAATATTCTTAGAAGGTATGGCTTCTGCCGTAAATACGTGAAGCGAAACGTTAACTTCGGAGCTGGATAATTTTCTTCGTCAACTTGAGGCCCTTTCGTGTCCTGCGAGTCAAATGAGAGTCTTCCTTGTCGAAGATCCGTTCAGCGAGGAAAAAGAGTCATTCCGTTTCGACGAGATTGATCCACGTAAACGTTGAAAAATAAAATAAAAATTCCATCGAGTCTTTTTAAGATCCTCGACGAAAGGGCCAACGTGTCCTCTCTGGATGATTATACACAAAAATGATAAGAGCAACGGGTCCTCTCGTGCTTCACAATGGTATTAGGCGATGTTAATGCAATGAGGTTATATAAGAGTATCACGACCTCCCACAAAAGATCAAAGAGGAATCACCATAAGTGAGGAGGTCCTCTTGGAGGATGATGAAAAGAGAATTTCCGAGGAATTGTCACCAGCACCGGGAGGACACCCCGCAACGCAGCGGGTTCTCGGCTCGACTGAGGCTCGACCCTCAGAAACGAGCCACCCTCGCGAGATACGCGCGCAGTCGCAAATTCAAAGCCGGCCAATAATATTAATTATTATTTCAGCCGATTGAAAATGGCACTGGTTCGGCTCCCGCAAGCTTTTCGCCAGTTATTAATCGCCTCTGTGAATGGACGTTATACCCGTCTGTCATTTACATGAGTATTGCTAAAATCATCTTGGTTGAATAAGGGATGCCTTTTCCAGTTTCTTATTCTCGATCAATTCTTTAATAAGACGTGTCTTATACCTCAATTTTATTCGCAATCGTTAAGATCGTCCTTCATCCATTGAGTACATCCTCAAAATCCCTATCTAATTCACCGCGTCGAACTTCAGAGTTATATAGGGAGAAATCGTTGAGAGGTGTCCAGCAGTGGCTGCTGGACCACTTCGTGGAGCAGAATAACCCTGGACTCTGATGTATGTACCTAGTAGGCGGTGTATCCTTCCTCCAAGTTGTCGTCCTGTCCCTTCGGTGCTTCTGTCATTTACATAGCGGACCGCTTGGACACCATTTCTGGCCGATACAAGACCCTTACACCTCTCTGCCCTCTCTCTGTAGTTCTCTCCTCTTTCTCCGGGCTTCCTATCGCATTTGTATATCCTTTCACCTCCGGTCCCTCTGCAGTAGGTAGCAGGTCCGGACTGCAATTAGAAGTGTAGCAGGCCGCTCCCACGCCGTAAACATGTGCTGCCGCTCTATGCATTCGCCCACGCATGATCGCCGTTCCTACGAACACTATAATAACGCAGCCCATTTCTGTGAGATCTTTGGAAACGTATTACACGCCATGCCGTACCACACCTTTTCCTATATAAAATACAGCATTCCTTTGACTCCTCGTTATACATTCGATACCCTCTGTTGGGATCGTCTAGTTCACTAACGGTTAACGGGTTAGGTATTTTTTTTTATTTCATTTTATTTCTCTCTTAAGGAAAAGAAATCGGCAGGAAAACCAACCTTATTTTTGCAAACGCGGCAGCGATTCCGTCGGCAACTCCGTTTACAAAGAGTGCCTCTGGGTCACGGGAACCGCACCGGCCCGTAGAGAAATGCGAAACCCTCTTTAAACCTGCTTTTCATTGACGACAAAGAACGACGCTTCCGACGAAAGGATTTTTATCTAACCTTAGTGCCTTCCGAAAGTTTTTGTACTTTTTAAGGATTTATCTTGAAACAAATTTTAAAGGTCCACTCGGCTGGAATTTTTTGTTTAATTATTTTTCATAATTTTTTTGTCTACGTGAAGGAAAGTACCGAGGGTGAGTTATGTATCTGAGGAATTTAATTTATTGTTTTCTGGCGCATTAAATATTTTTATTTCCTTCGTTTTATTAATATTTTTCAACTCCCGTTTTTTTCGTATTTCGCCATGTTGAATTTATTAGGACATTTTTTTTTCTACCAAAATTATTTGAAATTTTCTTTGGAACTCACGGAATTTCGAGGTTTTCTTGTTATTGTACTCTGTCCACACCCTTCGTTCCTTGAGAGCGTGCGCAGAGTGCAATTTTCGCGAATTACAGGGGGTTATACTGGGATATTGTGACTGAGAGCGAGAGAAAACTTGGTGCTCGACGGTAATCGGAAGGAGGGGTGAATTGCTTGGGAGAGAATTGCGAAATTGAGACGACCTGCATCGATGTTCCGCGTGCAAAATTTGTTATTCCAGTTCACTCTATTTCATCCCTTATATAAAATAAATTAATCATCAGAATGAAGATACGGCAGGATCGTTGTCAGTCGAGCAATAAAAGTATGACAACATATTTAGAATTTTTCAAAAATCTGAAAAAGGGATAGTGAGCGTCGTTCTCGTATGTGAGTCGACGATTTTTCTTTTCAAACCCTTCAAAGCGTGTGGCATGCCCTTCTCGCAAAATTATCCGGCAATCTCTGAAAATCCATATAAAAACGTTTCCCTGAATTTCGTCCATCTCGAATAGGCACCTTTGCATATATGATATCTAGATAGATATGTAAAAACGTGTAAAATTCACCCCAAGTATCGAAGATCCGATAAATTTTGATAAAGCCGCCGCAAGCGTCCCGAATCTTCTCGCAAATATGGCCTCGGGAAGGAATCTCGAGACAGACCACGAGAGAGAGAGAGGAGCTTCGGCTTTTAACGCCTCGTTCGCATTAGTCGAACTCTAAAGGGGTGCTTCGAAAATTTTACCTCGTGAGACGAGTCACTCCATCGCTTCGGGGGTGACCATGTTACGCCAGTTATTTTGCTATTTTCGCCAGCACAAATGGAGAAGACCCTAAGGCGTTCCGCTCACTCGCTGGAACATCGTGTTACAACTTTCTATTGTATCGCAAAATTCACTCTCAAAATTGCCACATAGGACGGTTTTCCGATAATAGTGCAAACTCTTCACTAGCCGTCAGTAGCACCCCCCGACGCCACCTTACCACCACGTATAACCCACCCCGAAGCTAATTCCAGTCGATCGAAGTGTTGGATAGAAAAATTTGACGACTCCTAAAGCTATTATTTCTCGTCGCACATTTCATCCACCTGGAAGATCATGGTACGAAGGAATAGGGCTGAGCGGTCTTCCGTTGCGTGATATTAATGGACCTTTCGATGGCCGATAAAAATTCTATCAGATACTCGATTCCACCTAGGAAAATAAACGAACCCCTTTCGCATAGAAAACAGATAATGTCACGAATGCGTAAGTATAAATTACGTAACAAAGATTAAAAAAAAAAAAAATGCACAAAGATCATACAATTCAATGCCACGTCTAGATCCAAGGCATTCTAAATGCCAAGAGAATCAGCATCATTCTTTACCCATCTAAATCTAAAGCTTTTCATGTATTTTTTTTTTTCAGGCACGAAGAGCCTCAATTCTGGAAGACCTCAGTCAACGATGGGAAAGGATATCAAGGGTGCGGACAAACTTTAGCAGTCTTCGAATCGAGGAATTCGGAAATCCACGAAGCCACCAAGGAATGAAGGTTGGAAGGTACAGAAACGAGCGATTCAGCGGGCGTACGGAATCAGCATAGGAGCGACATTAATATCCATTATATTCCTTCCTGCCTGCCTGATTCTCATACGGTTCCTCTCGTAGCATCCTTACCTAGCCATCTCCGTCGGCTCTGGCAGCGGCGAACCATTTCGTGATTTATAGCAAAAGTTTAGCCTCGCGATTACCGGGGATACCCCGGGGCTGCGACAGTTGGCATCCCTTCCATCCAGTCTAGGCGTCCCTGCACGTTACACAGCGAAAGCTCTTCAAAGGTCCAATGCCTGTAGACGACCCTGACGAGATAACAAGCCTCTGCTCTATCCTGATATCCCATAACATCACAACCCTTTTGATCCCGCAGCATCCACTTATGAACGACACCATGTAAAACCATTTAGATAAGAAACATTCAAGGTCACCAATGTGAAAGACCAATTTCTTCATCCGGTGGGACTCTCAGGACTCCGGGTAGTGCATGCATCCTAGATCTAGTACCCAGCGAGGATAATGTCCTCTAGACTGGATAATGCGGTCTGGTGTCGTTGCTACTAGCTCTCTTCTTGTTCTCGCTCTTAAAGCTCTCGTGCACTGCTGCAGACACACCAAAAACTATATATCCCCCCACTCCGTCTTTTCTTCGTGTTCTCCCTCCTTCTCTCCAGCCCGCTGCAGCTCCTATGATCCTCTTTCTCTCCTTCTCGCTCCTTCACCGCATCTACCAAACCTTGCTCATTCCAAACAGATGTCGCGTTATGACTCTTGTGCAGCCAACTACTGCCTACAGTTCCAGGGCGAGTTGGGTAGCCACGGGTATCAACGTAGGTACGAACAGCAGATGTCATAGAAAAAGTTCATTCGACATCAGTAAAGAACGCAGTAGTTGTCGTAGAGCGCGAACTGTTTCTGACAAGCATCTCCCGTCCGGCCGAGATTAAACTCCATTCGCAAGAACGTATCGCGCCGTTGCGATACAGCATAGCACGGAGAACATTTAAACGTCACGCTGGAAATATATGAAAGAAAAGTCGTAGACTTCTCATAAGGGTGGCTTTTGCAATCTATACTAGCCACGTAACAAGGGATGGTCCTTATTTCAGGATAAGGACGGACGGTCAGAGGTCTGAATACCGTAGGTCTATCCTCATTAACGTTCTACCCCGAATGAAATTAGCCACACGCTAGTCGCCTAACTGAGCCCCAATTTGGATTGTCAATGGGAAAACCGGCATTAACGTGCACATGATTAATGTTCTACGCGGTCGGGTGTAATCCTCGCCGCGATTTTAATAACCGAACTCACCCTCGTTCTCTCGACGGCAAATGTATTTGCCACGGCTATATCAAATACTTAATGCCTAATACCTGCCCCTCTTCTTCCCTATATCATCCGAATCCACGTATCGTATATGGGCTTTCTGTATTACAGTATGCCTATACACGTACAGGAACTGTCGCTCCCTATAGTTTTCCCTTGGATTCTGTGTCGGCGTGGCACGCGCACCGACAATATGCCAACGATATCCCATAGCCAGTCGTTAAAGCGATCCAGGACAAAGGATGGCTCACGCCGTTTTACACGCGTCTCTCTCATCGGGCTCATTCGCCAATGAAAGTCTATGAGATTCTAGCCACGTGTCTCCAGTGTCGCACGAGTCGAGGATCCGCGTCTACTGTTCGCCGCGACGCCACGCGCCTCTGGAATTTCATACGTGCCATTGTACATATGTACTCATGTGCGTGTTTGCATTTACAGGTACCCAATGCAAGAACGACTGTGTCGGAGGAAGGTCGGAACTCGTCGCAGGAAGCGCCAGCTTTTTTTTTATTACCTCCTTTATCCCATCTCGGTAAGTAGCTATACTTGGCATTTCTAATGCACTTGTCTTATATGCCTTAAACTTTCAGTGACAAACTTTTGATTGAATTCCGAGAAAGTCTTGATGATTGATTTGAAGTCCTGAGGAAACGAGGCTGTATAGCCGTGTGTGGCACTATTAATTTCACTTCCTGTATCTTGCGCTTTAACGGGAATCAGCGGTGGAAGTTTTCGCGAGTTGGTAACTTCCTGTTCAAAGTGTCCCGGAAGTGACGCGACGGAACGTGGAGAAGCAGACGGCGACCAGAGGAAGGAGAAAGAATATGAACGGGAGAAAAAAGTAGGAGACATGTCACGGGGAATAAATGGACGCAGCATCAAGTTCTTCGGGTACTGAAATGTCTCTTCCTCGATTTCTCATAGCTTTTCCCACTAACCACGCTTACGTTCGCCTCTGTCTCCAGAGGCAGGACTGTGGCGCAGTGCTTGCTACGTCTACGGACTCCGCGCTGAAGCACCAAACCTAGTTAGCGAAACACGTACGCGCAGGACGCTCCGGTATCTCGCCCAGCGAGCGGAACGCCGTGAATCGGGAAGCAAGTTTTGGAACAACAACGGCAAGTGCACGCGTCGACGATAATTACAAAAATAAACGTGAGGGAAGGGAGGTGAGTCTGGCTTAATTAGAATCGTGTCTGTCGCCGACTTAACTCGAGAGCCGCCTTGCTCGACTTGCCTTTAAGTAAGTAACAACTAAAGAACTGCGAAGTGCAAGTAACGCGACTGACGCTTACTAAAGAGTGTGGAATGGGAGTACCGGCCGCGTTGGATCTGGAGGTAAAAGTTCTTCGTGAAATCCTTCATTCTAATTGAGAGGCTTCCCTTTTCTGGATTAGCCAATCCTCAAGGATTTGCTTACCTTAAAATTTCACAGAGATATAACAGAGGTTGTCAAGTGGAATGGATCCCCATTAACGTTATCCTTGGCTAGGATGTGGATGCATATAGATTATACGGGCGGTTTACCGGAGGAAAATTGAACGGCCGAGAAGAAAAAGAAAATACTTTCTTTGTTTGTAGCGTCCATCAGGATGTTATTTGTCGTGGATTCTCAAGGGAACAGTGACACAGCAATTCCCTAAGCATGGATCCCCACACGCGTGCCAATCGAAATGCCGAATTCCCTGTGTCCTATGGAATCACCCTTACTCGAGACCGGGTAATATTTAATTTCTTGCCCGACTGATTTCTTCCCCGGCCCTGGAATACTCTCTTGGGACAAGCGCCCTCACTCGGCCCTCGGGAAGCAGCGGTACCGATGATAAAATACCGAACAAATGGACTTTGAAGCTATACCATTTTTTATGATACCCATTTTTGTGGCCATTGCACTTACTTGTACTCTCCTTCTTTCCCGGCTCACTCAGCCGTTATGCCTTGTCGTATACCTTTTGTTTCTTCACGAAAATATCGAAATATCCTACATTTCCTCTTACCTTCGCAAACTCGTATACTCTGATATCTGTGCATTATTCTGGTATCGCCGTTCCTTCCGGGCCTTCTTTTCCCTCCTTACCTCGTCGTCGGTCTCCGCGGCAACACACCTCGCTGAATGCCGCGAAGCTCCTTGGCAAAACCGTGTAAAATATTGTCGACGCGCTGCAGAGTTTGCAGGAGCGTAAGGTCCTGCTTCTCGCGGAGGTGGAATCTTCCCGTTCTCCCCGATTCTCTCTGCACCGCCTGTCGCCGGTTCTCCGATACGTTTAGAGCCACGAGGCGCAAATTCTTTCTGAGAGAGAAAAAAAATCATTCCCTAGGAGAGGGCCGGGATACGAGTAACGATGCCATTACGAGTAGCTGGCGAAGTGTCGGAAAGGGGAAGGTGGACGAGGGGTGCGGAAACGACGATTTACCATACGGCAACACTTTGAGATTTTCCGCGAGCGTTCCTTAAGGCCGTGCCGGAGGGTTGGTACAGGTCGACCCAGGATACAAGAAAGTACATTTCCCAGCGGTCTTCTCAGTTGGTAATTGATTCCTGAGCCTGGGCGTTTCTTTTGCGCCGCGCGACTTTTTCAAAGTCCAGCCAAGCGGAAGCAATGAGGGGTTGACAGACGGGGTATCAGTCTCGTCCACACCTTCCCACGCTCCTACTTATCCTACCCTTATTTTTCCCTTCTAAATTTTCCCCCTCTCTTCTCCGTCGACTTATCCATTTTGTACTCCATTTGGTCCTGACCACCTCGCGGCGAACCCTCGTTTTCACCCAGTAAATTTGCTAATAATAAGTCATAAATCCGCACCCGTCTGGTTGTAGCAGATAGGCGCGTGTGGAAAATTTCGTAACTTTCTCCGAACCAAAGCGAGCGAGGGCACGCGCTTACGATCGCGATCAGCCAGTCGTGAGTGTCACGAGTGAAAGCACACTCGCGCGCCATTTCAGATAAGAAATGGCCAGAAGGTAAATCTCTGGCGATATTCTCCAAATGGGAGTGATGCACGACGGTGGAGGATCGACCTGGGCAACCGGGCGTTTTGGCGTTGCTCCACATATCTTCTCGTATTCTTGGACACATATTAGGGGACGAGCACTGCAAGGGTGAACTTTCTTTCCACTCCGGACATTGTCTCGGGCGACGTTCCCTTCGTATGTCCGAGCATGCTTCGCATAATGGTAGGCAGGATACGTTTTTTTTTTTGGTAGTTGAGTGTCACGTACCTTTTTATTTTCCTTCCTCGTTCCTTTTCTTTTCCGTCTTCTGCTCACCCTTCTTATTCCAATCCATGTCTACAGCCTGAATTTAAATACCCAGGGGTGGCTCGGCCCGGGGAACAGTATTTCTTTCTCTTCCCTAAGAACGTCGTTACCACGCTATCTAACGCCTACGCAGGGGTTGTTTAATCGACGTAGCCAAACAAACCGTGCACAGCCTTCTTATTTGACAAAGTTTTGGTGAACTAGAAAATTCGCTTTATCGATTCGCAATTCGCGACTTCGAAGTATCGTCAGTCATTAGATACTTTTCTTCAAGCGGTTTGAGAAAGGAAAAGAAAGCATACAGTATCAAATTCCGAACAGAAGTTAGTTTCCTGTTAAACTGCGAAACTCGAATGTATATAAGGATTGCTAGCCAGTAGTAAAGGGTGAAACAAAAAATTCAAGAAAGTTGAATGCGCACCGAGGTGTTTCTTTGACCCTGCATGAAAGTCTGTAGCCCCTATGCTTACTTGGCAGATTTCGAATACTCATATATATATATATATTTTTTGGTTCAATTTCTTTTTTACAACAGCGCTCTTTCAGCAAACTACTACATCTAAGCCAACGCTCTTTCACAGTCACCAATCGTTCCTCTATTGACAATCAATTGGATTTTTCTAATTGGAAGTCGGATGGCGGTGGAGTCTTCAACGAACCTAGCTAGCCTCTTCAGTCGCAATTACAGTAATTCTACTTCTTTTACCTCGGTGCTTCTTCTCTTGCCTTCTTCCTTTTCCCTTTTTTTTTCTTTTACACTCACTCAAGTTTTCCTCCTTAGGTCCTTCTCTGCCGCTTTACTCCAAGTATCTTAACCTACATTCTATTCCACTTGAACCTTTCCAGTACAAAATACACCAAAGCAATCCCTTTTTTCCATGCATTCGCGAACCACACGGTACCGAGAAACGTACCTGCTTACTTTGCTTGGTTGGCTGCTTGGTTTGCTCGATTTGCTTGCTCGCTTGGCTTGCTGCACTGACTGGACTGAAAATGCATAGTCGACGACATTTAAATTCCAGCCGCCATCCTCGTGAGAGTGAACGAGGCTGAATCGTAGAGAGTGGCTGAATCGAGAGTCGAGGACATCGGGATTAAATAACTTTGGTATTTTCATCGAGATTTTCTCCACAGGCACAGACGGACAGATGGACCAGGTCGGAGGAACTGAAAATTCGTACAGAGGAGAATTCTATAAATCCAAGCCTAGCGACCGCGGCGCACTGGCCAAATTGAAATAAAGTTACGAGGATCCTGGAAGGACTACGGGAATATTTCAGGCTGCCTGCAAGAAGTTACAAGTTAGCCAATAAATGTCGGCCTCATAACTCCCACGGTATAATGGATACAAGTGGTGCTGCACCGACATGGACCAGTAAAACTGTATAAGTCGAGAAAACCGCGTTCAGCTTTTACAGCTATCTTGCGCCACGCTTCTACACTCCACATCCTCTCCACCCGCTACACCCTTTACAGCCTCCGCATCCGCCATACCCTCTACACCCTTTCCCTAACAGCTTCCCTCTTCCGCCCCTTCGAATCCTTACACACTGTACCCATCCTCCCTTGCTTCCTACCAAGGAATTTCAACAGACCTACCCCCCTCGCGTCAACCCCCTACCTCCGCCCCAATAAGTCGAATCCTCTCCCTAAACTCTTGCCTTACGTTCGTCTACTTGCTGCCATAGGGCACGTATACTGTATACGCGTAATATAACATACGGACTCGAGGATTTCTATTGCCTGGAGGATTATTGGCTTTTATCAGAGTCTGGCACGAGCCAAGCCCAAGTCTCTTTCCCTCATTGTATTTGCGTCCCATTTGGCACCAGGTTTCAATTCAGCCTCTACATTTCGTAGCTACTCATTCACTGTATTCCAGCTTATTGTCTTCAGTCCGCTACCCGTGGCCTGGTTTCTCAATTTTAGGTTGCAGACAGAAATGATACTTACGTGCCTTGCCTCCTCCTCCACGCACATATATGTATTACATATCTTCGTACAGTGCACATAGGTATACGGAATTGCCATATACGGGGGGATATTTCCTTTACCTCGACTCCTCCAGCTTCCAATAATCCCTCTGTCTTCTGATAGCTTTGATGATCCGATCCGATTGCTCTCCAGTCGGCATAATTATCGTTCGATGAAATAATCGATTATCCCTCCAGCAGCTCGCTAACCACTTCCCAGTACCCGGTTATACGATATCGACCAACCAATAATATATACAGAGACAGATGATATTTATTACGTCAGACTTCTCCTACCTCCGGAATTCGCACCCTCTTTCACACTTTTATTCAGTGCTGTCTTAACGGCCGATTTCTTTCACAGGCCCCCTTCGCCATTCACAAGGAGCGAAAATGCTGCGGATGGTACTTCGTGAATGAATATCTAAGGAATTTTCGATGCGACCTCCACGACCCTGAATTACCTACGTATCCGTTTGATGATTGGGGCGTGGTGGCTCGATACCGATGGATACCGTGAGGTTAATAGATTCGAGCAAATCTAGTTCGGTACTCGCTACATAATGTATCCTGCTCAGAATTATCCACGTATTCCATGTGGCACTTTAACCTTGTAGTTTCACAGCTCCAATTTATATAGCTAGAGTGGTAGGCAGATATCGACGTGTCCCCGACAGGTAGGTATGCTCGTACGCGACTGTATACATATAACTAGAGGTATCTAGAGGTATAGTGTCCTGCAGATATGCATGCATATATATACATACATTTGGGTAGTGCACCCAGAGGATCCACATTATGTATTGCGCATTATATACGTGAACGCGGAAGGCTACAGGTCAGCCGGTTTAACATAACTGAATATTGATAGACACCCCCTTCCTATATCTACATATATACAAGCATCTGGCTATACCTATTACCACCTAACCTAACC